CACCGTACGTGACACGTCACGCGTCACACCCGCAGCTGCCGTACGTGACACGTCACGCGTCACACCCGCAGCTGCCGTACGTGACACGTCACGCGTCACACCCGCAGCCACCGTACGTGACACGTCACGCGTCACACCCGCAGCCGCCGTACACGCCAAATATGTCCACTTTTTCACAAAATGTAAGTGATTCTGTTCACTTTTCATGGTTAAATTGCTGCATAAAACTTCCTATTTTGCTATTCCATTCGATGTGAACAAACACTCGTGACTCATACATAGCCCATAGCAAGCATTTAATGTCGTGATCAATATATCAAATAGCCCAGATTTTTTTTGACCCGTTGAAAAACAATCTTATCACGTAAGAATTTGAGGATACATTTAGTGCCGTTAGTACTTACTTTTTCACGTGAAAAAATTGCAACAATTTTTTTTTTACAAATGTACACCATAGAAATTTCGTGACGTAGTCAATTTAACGAGTGTGCGACGGACGGCTCACCTGAGGCGTCTCCATCTTCTGGCTGAGCACCGTCTCCCGGCCCTTAGGTGTCTGCCGCGACAGACCTACGCCGATCGTAAAATGGTGCTCGTGAAGCTCTGCCATCGTCTGCAACGAGCCGGCAGCTGGGTCACCGTGGCAACCGTGGATGCGTCGCGAGACTCGACGTTGTTGTGAGGTTGCGTCACAGTTAAACGATTTAACTAAACAGTTAAACTAGGCACCTGTGAGGCAGGCACTATACGGTGATCGGGTCCACAATCATTGTATTAGCCGTGCAGCCGTGATTTGCACGTTCAGTTTTGAAACTGCACGGCCCAAAAAATTATTATCTTTTTTTTTCCAAAGTTTCCGGGGAAGGCTCCAATGAGAGAGAGGAGGGGAACCCCTCTCATACTCTCCTCCCCCCGTGATCGCCTACGGCGGTCTTGGCTGAGACACACCGAAAAATTGCACTCCCAAATATTTTTTCTGCACTCATTCTGCACTCATTCTGCACTCATTTTTCTGCACTCATTCTGCACTCCCACAATACTCATTCCTGGCTAATACCCTGTCCACAATTTGAGCATCAGACACTCCCTACGGAACGAGCTGAGCCCACCGTTTCACTGCCTCGAAAGGCACAAAGCTGCTTTTAAATTTCTGTATGCATCGCTATACAAGAAGTCATACATAGTCGTTATACATAAGTGAGGTCGGAAATTTCCTTCTCGAAAAAAATTCCTCCTAAATTGTAAGAAGTTCCTACGCGATTGAAAGCAGAAAGAAGTAAGAATCTGACACGCCTGCTGGTTCGTGGTGAAAGTACCAGTCACCACTCATAGATGGCAGCACTCAGCACAGCGAGTTACAGCTGCGTGTGCGTACGTGCGTGCGTGCGTGGGATGTACTTACAGGACTCAACTGCATTGTTTTCGCTCTCTTCTCTTCTTCCGGTGTTGCTAGCAATTCCAACATAGCCTGGAAATAGAGAGAGAGAGTCAGTGAGTGAGAGGGAGAGGTAGGGTCAAACAAAACGTGCGCACCCTGGCAACAACGATCATCGGGCGCGCGCGGCGAACATAAACGGCGCAGAAAAACAAAAGAACGTACCGCGACGTTGTAAGTGGGCTTGAAGCTGACGTTGGGATCGAGGAACTTGCTCGGGGAATCAACGCCGGGGCTGTCCTGCTCGTTGCTGCGTCTGCACACGCTCGCATCCTTGAGCGCCTGCGGGTGCACACATCGTCACGGCGACGTAACTAACAAACATAGCCTCGTCGTCGTCGCGAGTTTCGCACTTTGGTTCGATTATCGGTGCGAAATTGCCAAGCTTCGTTAACGCGCGGCTCGCGATGCCTTAACAATTCACGACTCATCGCAATAACACAGGCAGCAGGCGTATATCGTATCTATTTCGTACAAGGAGCTGTATAAAATGTGTGCCTGACTGGGCAAGCTAGGAATGTTTAATCATAGATATGACAATTCGCTTCATGCATTTGATTTAGTTTGGTTTTTAGTTAGAGAAAGCGACTTGAATAGTGATAATTTGATTTTTTTGATAATTTGCAGTGGGTATTGTAGGGCTCAAAGTTTCGTTGGATATTGCTCAGCCAGTGGGTTCCTTGAAATAAATAGTGAATAACACTGGTATGGGGCATTATGTGTGTTATAAACTCTTATAATGGCTAATAAAGTATTATTATAATTTATTATATATATGACGTCACCACCCACCTTCACTCGTAGATTCTCGATCTTTGGCGTCTGAAAGCTCGCAGCTGGCGCCATCTGTTGGCCATCCTGGCCGCGAACGTCCGTATTCTCCTTCCCACTCGTGTTTATCTCCTCTCCATTCTCATTCTCATCTGTGATTGATAGCATAATAATAACAAGAGGAATCTGCCAGGTGTCTGACAGTTGTTCAGGACAGGCGAACACCATCAGTCTATGGATGGATAAAATGCAATTATGCAATGTTTTCTATTCTTCAATCAGTCATGAATGATCTTTGGAACCCCAACGTTGATCTCACGACACACGCACACACGAACATTGTTTTGCACGTTCTGGATGCGCAAATTAAAACGGGATGCCCAGCCCACCTTGCTGGTTCTCCTCGGGCACACCAGGCGGCAGCACCCGCAGCTCTTCAGTCGTCTGCTCCGTCGCCGGGGCGATGATGTAATCTTTCTCGGGGCACTTCCGGCCTGTTCTCGCAGACTCCAGCAGCCAACTAAACATTGCAAATACAGGCGTTGCAAACAGGTCTTCTCATTAACCAGCTCTATCTATCGTTATCGTTTGCACACATTATTCATTATTTCTGTGACACACACAAAAAACGGTTAAAACGAAACTATTAATTAATTGTTGATTAAGTTCATCTGTTCATAATCGAAAAATTTCTTTTTAACCAAACAAGAATTTTTTGTAAACGTTTCGACATCTGTCAGAGATGTCTTGATCACTACGGTAATGGCAGTGATTCGATTACGGACCTGAACTGAAACTGTTAACCCCCACAACTTATTTCTCCGTTAGACAACAAAGTGCAAACATTTCGGTTTCGCGAGCGAAGACGCCAACAAGCGCGCGGCGGGGTCGCAGCGGGGTCGCGGCGAAGACGCCAACGAGCACGTGCCGGGGTCGCGGCGGAGTCGTGCCGGGGTCGCGGCAAGGTCGCGCCGGGGTCACTCACTGCTTGCTGACGGCGGGCAGGTTCCACTTGCACGCAGCATCATACTTGCTGCCCTCGGGCGCGAGCAGAACTAGATGGCTGCTCGGCTCCAGCGACGCAGTCCTCTTACCCTTGCGCACAAAGTACTCCTGGCACCTGTGTAAAAAGACGGAAGCAGACTAGACAGACTGCGGGGCGGGAGAGGGATGGAGATGAGAAAACGTGAAAGTGATGGAAGCAGACTAGACAGACTGCGGGGCGGGAGAGGGATGGAGATGAAAACAACATTAAAGAGACGGAAGCAAACTAGACAGACTGTGGGGCGGGATCCGCGAACCGGTACCAGCAACAGAGATGAAAACAATGTGAAAGAGACGGGAGCAGGCTAGAAAGACGGCGGAGCGGGGACGGCAGACGGACCGGTACGAGCAACGGAGATGAGAAAAACGTGAAAGAGACGAAAGTAGGCTAGACAGACTGCAGGCCGGGGTCACAGAGCACAGAGGACCCAAGTTGGGAAAATCACTTGTGATAAAAGGGATCACTTGTGATAATGGTCCATAGCCGTTTTATCGCGGTGCGCAAAAACAGGAAAAAAGTTGTGGCGGGCTGCGACATGTGTTTGTCGCAGCGCACCACTTTTTTTATAAAGTATACATGTAAAATAAAATGCACATTCATGTTAATTTACGGTTTGTTTTTAAGTGTATGAGATTTGTGGCCTTTTATTGTTCGCTGGAATCAAAGTACATCAACAACGACGGCAAATTTAGTAATTTACTGATGTAAATTTTAAAATATGGCTGAAAAATGTTACGACTGGGACACCGGGACCAGCAAGTCGCACCAGGACGATCCCGGCGAGGCCGGGACACTTGGGACATCTGCAGAGCAGCACAAGCAACGTAGTCGGGAAAAACGTGAAAGACACGGAACTAGACTAGAGAAAGAAACAGCAGAAAGACTAGAAAAAGTGCTGCGCATGGGGGCGGGGATCACGGACCGTCGCTTGATGTGCGTAGACGCAGCGTAACGCAGGGCAGCAGGCGGAGAGATCGTACTCACTTTGCACCCAGCATCTCGGCGATGTGAATCAGACAATCGCGCTCCGTCCCAGAGAACTGACTGCAAGAGACAATGAGCACGCATTAAAGAGCGTGCATTAACGAGCGTGCGTTAACGAGCATGCATTAATGAGCGTGCGTTAACGAG